CTGCTGTAGTTTCCCTGGGAAGAATTTTCCTTAGGTCACTCCCCAGCCTCTCAACCCTTCCTCTCTCCTATTCAGGCAATGAGGTTTGGAGAAAGGTCTAGGCTCAGCTTTCTGGGGTCCTCATGCTGCCCACACAACCAGTTCCACTCCTCAGTGCTGATAAGTGGGGTGATGTACACAGGAGAGTGCTGACAGTGCTTAGTGCTATGGAGGACCACCTGACTACCAAGCTGCCAGAGGACTACTGCACACCTATGCACTTAGGTGATACACCAAAAGTCACTTTCTTCAACTTTGACTTCAATAGTAGTAACAGCCACTTCCTCTGCAATTTGATTCCATGCTTATTTTTCATATATTTCCAAACAGGGTGAAGGAAAGGATATTATTATTAGTTAGTATTAGTTAGTTTTGGCTGCATAACAAACCACCCCAAAACTCAGTACTTTAAAACAATTCCGATTATTAGCTCAGAACTTTGGGAGTCAGTTGGACAGTTCTGGTCTGAGTCAGCTTGGTTGATCTCTGCTAGGCTTGGTCAAGGGCTGGCCAACTGGCTGGCAGCCAACCTAAGATGTCCTCGCTTACATCTGACAGTTTATTCCATGTGCAGAATCATTCAGCAGACCATTCAGGTTCATTCACATTGCGGTGATGAGAGAGTTCCCAAGAACAGCAAGGAAGGACAAACTCCAATGTATAACCAACGTTCAAATCTCTGGTTGGGCTATATTTGCTAACTATTCCACTGAGTAAAACAAATCTCATGGCCAAGGCTGAGTCAGTGAGAAAGAGAATTACCCAAGGGTGTAGACATGGGGTGAGAAATTATTGTGGCCGTTTTGAAAAATCAGCAATCAATTTGTAGCTATTTAAAATAAAACGGTCATAAATTCTTTGACACTTTCCTATTGAGAAATAGGATTATGAGCCCTACCAGTGAAAGTGGGTGAGTCTGTACCCACTTTGACTTACAGTACATAGCAGAAGGGACAAGCCACATAGTCATAAGCTACTTCAGGCTTCCTTCTGATTTTTTTTGGAGCACTTGCTGTCCGGGTGTTCCCTTCCAGAACACAATGTGAAGCCACATGGAGGCAGCTCCTATCTACAGCCCCGACAGACCCTGGCCTTACAATTCTACCAGCTGGCCTGACAAAAGCTCTAGAGAGTTCCAATCTCCAGTCTTGCAAGTTGCCCCTAACCATTTGTGTTCCCAGCCGAAGCCCCATACATGGTGAGGACAAGCCTTTGCTGCCACCCGAGTTCTCAACCCACAGGACCCCAGACCACTGAAAAGGGCTGCTATTTTATTATTTGCTACTGAGTTTGGGGAGTTTGTTGGGCAGCAAGAACAAGCAGAATACACACCAGTCTCAACTTTTGCCTCCCTTTACCATTCACAGGAGCATATACTTTTTCAAGCTGAACAAAACACGGTAAAGGGTGTCATTTCACTATCAATAATTTTGTTTGCTAAAATTTTTTTAAAATGAGTAGCATAGATTATTCACCACAAAACCATCCAATAAAAGCAGAGGCTTTATTTCTTAATAAATTTCTCAATTTACATAATTATTTAGGTGATTATTAATTAATTAATTCAACAAGTATATATTAGATGTATACTTTGGTTGCTGGCAATTCAGCAATATATCAGACTAGGCCTCTGACCTGATAAGCATATATTTGATGAAGGGCTTAGTTATTTAATAGTGAAAAATACCAACACTTATTGTGTGCTTCCTACATGGTAGGTGAGGACAAGCCAAGCCTGCTGTGAAGCTGATAGATGCTAGTAAAAAATTGATGCCTCATATAAAATCCAGTTCAGAACTATTCCCATTTCAAAGATGAAGTGGAGGCACAGAGAATTAGGTAACTTCCTGTCTTTTTGTGTAGACACTGGAAACCACATGATTAAGCCAAAAAGAGTTACACAAGCAGGCTCAGGAATGTGCCCTAAATAATGAAGTAGGACAATATAGGGGCTTTCTGTATTTAACCAATGCCCTGTCCATATGGACAGCCATATTCCTTGTCCTTCATTTACACTAGTATGCACACTTAACATCATAATGTATTTTCCTAGTGTATATCTGTTATTTTTCTTTAAGCAAATAAAAAAATCTCTGGATATCTGCTCCAGGCACAATGTTGCCTGGAGATGACTTATAATCCCAATGACTTGGGAGAATGAGGCAGGAGGACTGCAATTTCAAAGTCAGCCTCGGCAATTTAGCAAGGCCCTAAGCAATTTAGCAAGACCCTGTCTCAAGATAAAAAATAAAAAGGAGATGTGGCTCACTGGTTAAGCACCCATGGTTTAATTGTCAGTACCAAAACAAACAAACAAACAAATAAATAATAAGAGAGTCTGCCACCAAGAGCCACAGATATAAGAAGCTGCCTGTGACTATTGATAAAAGCAACAGGTTTCCAAAAGCTTCTAATTTATAACACTAAACACAAAATCCCAACATATAAATGTATAAATATTATAAGACCAATAGGCCTAAACAAACTAAGAGAAGTGTTATTTCAGTTCCACTGAACATCCTGATGCACTTCCATATTTTCTTTTCTATTGAAGCAAATGTTTGCCGTCTTCTATTTTTTCCTTAACAAGTCTTTTTTTAATTGGAACACTGTAATTATTCTTAATAGTGGGATTCATTCTGCCATATTTGTATATGCACACACATAATTTGATCGATATCGTCTTCTATTTTAGTAACTCCTCTTTCCTACTCACGCTAACTTCAGGGTTATGCAAATTTTGAAAGAATTTCAGTCTTAAATTTGTTACCACACCTCTTCTAGAAAGAAAGATGAGTTACTGGGCTTTCTTTTCCACTTTTTGGGCATACAACTAGTTGGAGGGATCCTATAACTTTTTCAGGGTAATATTTTTAGTCAATAATAATCTGCTTTTACCAGGTGGCTGCAGGAAAAGGAGACAACAGATACTTCGTACAAAACAGAAAATCTAGTTTTCTTTTACATGTTACAAGAAGCTAGAAGCTTTTGGCAGCTTGGAGAGAACACAAGTGGGTTTACCCATTGCAATCCATCCCTTAAGCCAGTAGGCAGCAACTCCCAGTGGCTGGCTATGAGTCAGTCCTCCATCTACACAGGAAGCAAAGTCCTGCCTCACCACTAATGTGCACCTTCCCTCTCCAGAGCAAAGGACACTCTTGAACACCAGGGTGTTCCCACTACCACAGACTTCAATATAATTTCATTGTGGGAACAAACAGTAACAAACACCATATGAAACCCATTCATGAAGATATATTAATCTTAATTGGAAAAGAACTGAATGTTTAATATTTATTTTCCATGGATACTGTAAGAATGAGGGGGCAGGAAGACATTTCTGTTTAAAATTTACACTTTTATAAATTTAAAACTGAAGTTACTTTCTCATACTTAAAATAATAATTTCTAATTATTTTCCTAGAATTATCAAGGGATATAAGGGTTAAATCATTCCAGAATGTTCAGTTACAAATTCTGTAATTAAAAAAGACACCAAACTTACACTCATTTTAAAAACAGTATTATTAATTTAATAAGTATTTTATTTGCCTTATAAAAAAGAAAGCACTAAAGAGTCACGAACACCTTTCAGAACAAAAACTGATCATTCCTGAAAATGGTGGTCTTTGAACCAAGGCATCTTTCTCTAGATAGCTCTCATCAGCTGACATAGTCATTTGCTTTTGGTTACCTCATGAGTACTTTTATTTCCATATTTAGCATATAAAGTCATCTAACCTAAGCAGCACTAACCTAACTAAGGTTTCTAAGTTATCCATCTCTTCTTCCACCAGACCAGGGCTCATTTTACCTGTTTCATATTTGGGGTTCAGCAAAACATTTCACTTGAAGAAGAAATGTCATCTATTGAACACACTCAGGATACTTGTGTTTTTGTCATTTTTCAGCACTCTTGGGTAATATGGCAGCCAGGGACAATGGGCGATTCAGTAGTGTGACCCTCAAAACATGTAGAAGGCTTCAAAAGGATAACCAGACGAGGTGCACAAAGCCCTATTTGGTTACATTAAAATTTCCAAACAAATCAGATAACAGGGTAGCACCATGGGTACCTCAACCCCCAAAAGCTGACAGCCACTTACAGACACTAACTATGTCATGTGGCACTCTTGTGCCCACTTCAGAAAACTCCAGACCAGACCTCACCTGATTATGTTCACTTTTTACCTTCACTTTAACAGAGAACACTTCACTTCTACAGTCACAAAGCATGTCTAAAGGAGGCTAATAAGTCTATGTTTTATCTAACAGACATATCACATCTTAACCATTTAAATATAAGGAAGAGAAACAAAACTTCTCAAAATAACGTTTGTAGTACAGGTCCACTCCTTTTGTTTGATGAATGTTTCCAAAATTTATTAATTTTAAACTGACTCTCTGTACTTTGTTTTTAATCATAAACATTTTGTTAAACAAAATAACCCTTAGAGCCAGGTGTGATATTGCACACCTATAATCCCAGTGGCTCAGGAGGCTGAGGCAGGAGGATGGCAAATTTAAAGCCAGCCTTGGCAACTTAGTGAGGACTGAAGCAACTTAGCAAGACCCTGTGTCAAAATAAAAAAAGGGCTGGGGATAGGGTTATGCCCCTTGGTTTCAATCCTGGTTACCAAAAATAAATATATATATATATAACCCTTAGATCTTTTCCATACAGAATTGGCTTAAAGACTTATGAAATATAAAAAACAGCTGGACAAAAACTTATTTCTTTAGCAGATTTCTAAAAATATTTTCAAAGACTATTAAGTGATCTTTAAAAAGACTTACAAATCATATTATGAAGCCATGTGAAATGCAAAGGCTAAAAGTCTAAATATAAGAAAAGGAAACATATCCTTATACCCATCTCTTAAAGGTCAAGTATTTAAAATATTCTATTATATGTTTTACCATACTGAACTTCTCTACAAAGATTTAAGTAAAATACTTACAGTTACTTATCACTCCTCCCAGTGGATCACCCTTAAAGTCAAATTCAATATCCATATATTTGCCCTGTTGAAGAAAAGAAAGGCTTGGTGAGTTTTCAAGTCCACCTCAAAACAGTTAGTCAGTGTACTTCTTAGACAACATCAAACTAACTTCTTATGTTTATGCACTTGTTTAAACGTAATTAAGAAAATCAGTTTATATAACCATGATGTAAAACAATATGTTCCATAAATAATTCATACTAAATACCCCATTGGCTCAAAGCTAATCTATTCTGGTGCTAATTTAAGAACAGATCTTCTTGGCCATTGTGTGACTTTACCACTTCATATATGTGTTTCAAACTCCTGAAGGATGCATGTACTCAATTTAAGAATAAAAATCAGGGAAAACAAAGTAGTCCTTACATACACACTGATTGGGAAGATAAATTACTTTTCAAGGCAAAAAATCACAGCTATAAACTCCAAAAATATAGGACAGTGGGTAAATAAACCATTCTGTTTTTATAACTATTCAGATCAAATACACAATTATGTGGTGTGACTAGCTCAGAATCAAAGACTAATAATCATTATTACTTTTTTTGGCTTTTGACCTAGATTATATAGCAGTATATAACCCAGGTTCATATTACACTTTACAGATGGTATCTTGAGACACACATGGAGTTCAATACTGTGATTTTTAAAGAAATGGTCTATAATTGCCTAAAGAGTAACAAGAACAAAAGAATAACCCCGACAGCTGTTTCTTGTTTAGAAAAGGATATGTTGATCTGGTATGTCAAATCCTGGATTTTGTTTCAAGTCCTACATTAGTAATAGTTAGATTGGTTTATAAATAATTCTCCTTAAGTATTACTCTAACTCTTTCTAATTTTCAAAACGATGGGGAGGGAGAAGAAACAGGACCAAATGGAACTCGGTCAACAATGCGCTCTGTGACTCTCTACTAGCTGAGGCATGCTGTCTCACCATCTCCTTTTCATTGTCATCTACCCTTTAAATCTTCTACTTATGCATTAAGCAATTGTCTATTGAGTACTTCCTCAATGCCAAAGTAGAAATACAGGAAAGCAAAGCAGTCTCTGCTCTCTGGGAACATATACGCTCTGGAGGGGACTTGACAAGGGAAACAGTTTGTTCTGGTATAGGATACACCCTACGACGGGTCATGCTGCTAAGCATGGAAAGCAGGACAAAATAAGAGCAGGAGTCTTTCCCAAGTGAAATGTAAAGTCTCAGGAGAAGTGAGTAGAAGAACAGGGAGAGTGAGTGGAGAATCGGGGGTAGAGAGGAAAGTTGGAGCGCACTGTGAAATTGACATGTCCTCCTGACAGCAAGCCATGTCACTGAAACATCTTAAATAAGGAGGCATTTATCAGACCTGCCTGTTTACAAGATCACTTGGCTAGTGGGGGTATGGACTAGAAAGGAGCAAGACTAGATAAATCTGATGGCAGTCAGCTGCAGTGGTAAGGGAGGAAATGCTGGAGGCTTTAAGCAGGAGCAGTAAAAAGAGAAAAAAGAGTTGAAAGCTACCCAGAGAATCACAATGACAGGCCTGGGTTGATAAAGGAGATAAGTGAGGGTATAAAACATCCAGGGATGTGGTCTAGGCAGCTGAGTGGACACTAAGACCCTCTGCAATGGTGGGGACACAGCAGCTACTAAAGAAAGGAGATTATAATCCTGTCGAGGAGGTTAACAGTCAACCCTACAGGAGAGAACAGAAGTGGTCCTTGAGCACAGGTGGAGGGATTAGTGTAAGACATGCATGTGCAGGGACGCACATACAGGGGAGGCACAGGATGCAGAATTAATTCAGTTAGCGGGGCCTGAATGATGGCAGTGACCATATGGAGGATCATGCTTTTTAAAAATTTTTTATCATAATTTGTTATGTATGACAGCAGAATGCATTATAATTCATATTATCATGCTTTTTTTAAAAAAGAAGGTGTGAGACTAGGATGGGAGATTTGAAAAGAAGAAACACTGTAGAGAAAGGAAAAGGAAGCCAACCATGAAAAAAGAGCTGGACAGCAGCGAGAATTACGCTGATGGTGGAATGGCACCCTTCTTGGGCAGCCATATCCTGATTCTCTGCCAGAAGCTTGGTTCTGATCATGCGGCTAGTCTACTAGCAATAACTAACAACTTCCAATCACCTGAAATTAAAGTGTGAGACTCTAAGACTGACACTTGAAGCCCTCCAGCTGGGGCCTTGACCCATCTTTCCAGTCCTGTGTCCTGCGGCTCATTTCACGCACCTCTGGTCCAGCAGCCAGGAACTCTGGTACATGCAGGTCCATGTGGCCCCTCTCTTCAGGCTTCCTCAGGCTGGAAGACCAGCTCCCCCTGTCCTCCACTCGACTGTGACACATTTAAATCTTTGGGGCCTCCCAGGACTGTCCCCTGCCCCAGATTCCTCCCGTTCCTCTCTCTTGGATGTCTGTATAGTCTCACCTGTACCTTTCATGGGGAACTTGCTCTTTGATGTGTTGTGTTATAATTATTTTTAGATATATCTAGTTTTTGTAGTCCATAAGCTTCTTAAAAAACTGGTGCATAAGAAGGTACTTGTTCCCATGGCCCCTATCATTGTTGTGGTGACATCAATGAGGTAAGTGAATACACTGACTCCGGGGATGAAAAAAAAAAAAAATCTTCAGAAAATAAAAAAAAGTTGAAGTCACAGAGTCTAGGAAAGGTGTCACAGAAGTGACGTTTGATGTAAGACACCGCTAGTGATGTGAAGGTCGAGGGACAGAGCACAGCATACAGAAGGATGCACAACTTCAAAGGCCTGAGGCTAGGAGGTGCTTGGTGTGCCTGAGGATCACACAGGCCCATGTGGGCAGAGTGAAAGAGGGCAAGGAGCAGTCCCAGAAGGGCAGGCCTCAGCTCAGGCGGGGACCCAGGAGGCCCGAAGCAGCACATGCTGTAATCTAGGAGCAAGAGGGCACCATGGAGCCCTTCAGTAAGGCAGCAGGGGAACTCCAGTCTGAGGAGATGATTCCAGCTGCTGCTAAGGAAAGATTGCAGGCTGCAAGTGAGGTGCAAGGAGGCCAATGATTAGTTAAAACCATTTTAAACAAATGAATCATTTTCATACAAAAATTTTATTGCATTGGAGTTTGAGTAATGAAATTTCTGCAATACTAGCATTTCCAGTGCTCCCGGCATCTAGGTCAGCACTTTGCACATGGTGGATACTCAATGCACTGCCCACTCCCAGGAAGACTTGGTCAAGCAAGAAAAAGACTTTCAAAATATTTTTTTCAAAACCAGTTGATTCTCTTTCTTAAATGAAGTTTGATATGTCAAACCCAGATCTGCTGGGATGGAGAGGAGGATACCATGGGGCCCTCCTTGGGTACACTGGTCTCCAATGTCAGTTATGATGAGCAAGTAATTAACTGCAACACAGCAGACTCTTCCCAATTGTTCAGAGAAGAGATTGAGGAATTCATTCTAGGTTAACTAAACACAGCTGAAGGAACTCCAAGTTCCCTGGAGTAGAAATACATAATACATAAACCACTATTAGGTTCAGCAGTAACTTTAAGTACTGTAGCATCCTACTACAAAAAATTATAGCATATATTTGGGCGTATTACTAGTCTAGTCACAGACCACAAAGCAGAGAAATTACTAAAAACTGGGCATGAAATGACTTAGCCTATAATCAAGCGTTAATCTCACATCCTAATACCCGTGTTATAATAGGATTTCTCTGAAGCTACTTAATAAGCCAAATCTCTTGCCAAGCCTTTCGCTAGATTTCAAATATTACTAAATGGTAATGACCTTTTAAGCAATATGGTCTTATGCATTTATACTGCCTAAACACCAAATATTTTTGTAAATATTTAAAAGTGTGTGTGCACATAAATTGTTAACCAAATAAAATTTCTAGCACATAAGAAGCCTGATGGTTGGAATTGCTTCTATCTGCCCATACTTCACTTCTAATTCTATTTATGCAATGAGATTAGCCGTGTTTCCACAACAGGAGAAGGCATGGCTCAAATCAGTTATAACAACTTAACAGACTAATCTGATGGAAAAAATTCACAGCCTTGGAATTAGAAATTTATTTAGCCTCTCACTTTCTAAACTCTCAAAATTGCCTCACCTGAGGTCATTCTCTTCCTGAAGCACTAGATAACCCTAAAAAGAAAAAAGTCAAAGGGATCTAAAAAGAAGGGGGAGAAAGATCAGGAAGAGCCTCTGGTAGAGAGACATAAAAGATCATCAAAAATGGCCCCCAGTGGCACAAGTAATGCATATGAGAAAACAGTTCAGAAAGCAAATGATCTTTTGTCATAAAAATGTATAAACTTGGTGAAACTACAGAAAAAAAAAAAAAGAGCCGTTTTGAAACAGCACCATCACATGTACCCTAAACCCCAGCTGTCTCCAGGCAGTGTTGGTGTCTCTGTGAAAACCAGGGGCATGAAGGAGCCTAGCACAGCTGGAGGGGCCCAAATGCCCAATGTAGGGGGCACATGCTGGAGTATGAGAGGATACCAGGTTGGAAAGGTGACATGGATAAGATGTCTATTTGTGGAAATAGCATCTAGTAGTTCAACCAAGCTCAAGACATCAATCAGCTTCAGCTCCCCGTGCCAACCCACACACCCTTGTATATCTCATCAGTCGTATTGATTATACCTCTATCAAGATTTAGAATAAATTCTGGGCCCACTAAATAAGGGATAAGGGTGACAGACTGCACAAACTTGAGAGTTTTTCTTTCTACATAATTTCTGATTCTTAATTATGATTAATAATAATGCCAAAATTCAGATAAGTAAAAAGTCTTCTTAAATAGTCTCATTTAAATTACTCATGGAATTTTATAGCGGAAGATGACAAGAAAATATGATTTAAAAAACAGCTTATCACCCCCAAGAATTATTAAAAAAAGAAAATCTCAGAAAGCAAAAATTGTCCTTATAGAACTTTCGGTGTCTCAATAGGAATGGTGCTCTTCTTATTTTAAAAAATGTGTGTATTAAGAAATATTAAACATCTCCTGGTTGTTTAAACATACATGAGCTAAATATTAGTGTTAACACTTAAGCTTATACAAATACTTACAAATCTAGAGGAGTTGTCATTCCTTACAGTTTTGGCATTTCCAAAAGCTAGTAAGAACAAAACAGATGCATGGTTAAAGTTCACAGAAAAAAATAATAATTTCAAGCAGAAGATACAGCAAATATAACTGCTGGCAAATACAACTTGTACCAATGACATTTCTGTACAAACTTTCCATAAAAATATGCTTAACTAAAGTTTTTAATAAGTTGCTAAAACTTCCATGTCTTATTACAAATTCATAGAAAAACAGTAAGTTACTCCTCTGACTCATGGAATTTTTGTGAGCATTTCCTTAAACTTAATCTTACCTAATTCAACACCTTTTAATTCTTTTCAAACAGGAGTCAAGTGAGTTAGCCAGCAAGTGGCTTTTATTCTTCTACTATTAACACGCTATTTCAGAATTACTCTGAATTACCAAAAGTTTGATGGAACTGGAACCAGGCACAGAATGCCCCTCTTTAATTAAGCCTGGGGCACTAGAGAGTGGAAAATTAATCTAGGAAAATGATAGCAGAGAAAGAGGCAGTATAAGCTTAAGACATATCTATCAGGAGAAGGAACCCCCATTTGAATCTCTGAAAGCCCAGCAGTGCATCTCAAACTTCAATACGCAACCCAGTCGCCTAAGGATCTTGTTGAAGTATAAATTGGTCTAGTGGGCCTGAGAGAAATAGGAGACTATGGATTCTACCAAGTCCTCCATCCAAGCAGACTATTGTTGGGATCCAGAGGTAGCTAGCAAAGAGGAAAGCATGATAAAATGGCCAACAGAAATGATTTTTGGAACAAGAGGCTGGACATCAAATATCTGGAGGCCTCCAGAACTTATTCAAGATAAGCAAGGAGAAGAGAATTGGAGCAATCATTGCTCAAATGAGCCCTGAGGCTAAAAACTGGTTCTTGTTTTCAAAATAGTCATTTATCAAGAAGTGAGGCAGCATATTTATTAGAAGGTAACTGAATATTCAGCACCTAAATGTGATGTGCTCTAATTCACACACTAGGTGGCTGTTTTATTTTTTTTATTAAAATAAAAATAAATATTATTATTAATAATAGTTGGCTTGAGATCAGTTAAGACAAAATTTGCAAAATCCACACAGAAAATGTTCTTTGTTTTAGGGATGCTGCCTGGACCCAGGATGGCTCAGTTAGGCCCTAACACCAAATTCTCTCTTCAACAGAAAGAAAACAAGATGCTGTGTTGAGCAAGGAAACCTGTGCCCTGGAAATACTCAAAAAAAGGGAATTTTCTAGGGAGGTTCCCATGCTTATCCCTTGTTCACACAGGCCAAAGCTTTTACAAGTGTGATCTTGATAATGGCAAATGTCAACCAAGTTATCATGAAAACTCGACATTCTTATGCTTTCTTTGCTAGGCCTTTGTGGTGGGTGCCAAGTTAACTAACTTAAAAGCCCCAAAGTCCAGCACAGGACGCTGTCACATAAAGGACAGTTTATTGCAGCTTGAAGGTCAGGGCCAAGTGAAGGAATTGCTTAAAAAAAAAAATTGATTTAGGGCACCCTTTGCAAGCCACAAGCCATCTTTTCATCAAACAATTCTGAGTTGCACATTACTAAACACAATCCTAACACTGAAGTCCTTTATTGTGAGCCACAGAATCCAAAACAAGTGTTCCATTATAAAACACTCGAGACACATTCCTTGTTTGTTTTTTTTAAGTTCATTGTTCTAAATGTTCATTTACAGTAGCAGCTCCAGTTCAAAAGTAAAGCATTCCCATAAAAGATAATACAGGCCCACAGTGGACATTTCTCCCATTTCCTGCACTGCAGCCTAGATTGAAATACCACTGAATAAAGAGCCAGATTCTAGTCACAGATGCAAGCTATAACATTCCTTAGCAATGCTCCTTTAGATCACAGCATTCTTAAAATAAGCATCTACAGAATAATAGCATATGAGGAACTCATTAACTTAAAAGCAAAAATGAATAAACAAAAGTCAAATATTACAATAATAAAATGAAGAGATACCATTTTCTATAGATTCTTTCTTGGTTAAGTACTGAAGGGGAGGAAAGGTCAAAAACAAAGGAATAGATTATTTGGTCTCTGCTTCTCTCATATCCTACCATCCAGGGTACAGATGCCAAGGTGAATCCTTGTAATAAAATGGAGAATGTAAAGCACAGAAGTGTTTCTTGGAGTCAAAGGGAATGCTCAGGTTTCAGGAGCATCTCCAAAAGGGAAGGAGGAGCTGGGCCTGAGAATAAACACAACAGGGCAGGGCTGCCTTCCACATTAGGGGGGTGCCCACCTAGCCAGAGCAGTTGTATGTAATCTGTGTTAAATCTTGTCCTTCCTGACTTGGAACAAAGAAACCAAACTATTTCTCTAGCCCAGAGATTTTAAAGTGTTGTAGTTCTGACTTCCCAGGCAGTGTCTGAAGACATTCTTGATTCTAACAACCAGGGGTAGGAGTACAAATGGCATCTAGTGAGCAGAAGCCAGAGATGCTGGCCACAGGACAACCCTCTGCAGCAAAGATGTGTCTAATCCAATAGTGCTAAGGTGGTGAACCCTACTCTACCCCCAGTAAATGTGTTGCATGACAGTAAAAGCATGCTTATAATATGAAATGCATTGAATGGCTTCCCATCAACAGGGAAAGGCTTTGATTTACTCGGGGAAAGAATGGTTTATGCTGATGGCACATGCCATCCTTTATGGAATGAATGGAATTTGTCCCTGGCTTCATTTTCAGATGGTGACTAAAATTTTTATGCTCCTCTATATCCAAAATCATATGTTGAAGTGCTAATAACCCTTGATGTGATGATATTGGGAAGTAAGGTTTGATGCTGTCATGAGTGTGTGACTCCCATGAGGGATCAGTGCCCTTTATAAAAAAAGAGATTCCTATTGCAATATTGTGTGCATGTATGAACATGTAACAACAAATCCTACCACTATGTGCAACTATAATGCACCAATTAAAAAAACTGGGGGGAAAAGAGATACCACAAAGATCACTCTTGCTCTCTCTCCTGATGTACACAAGGAAAAGATCACACGTACATACAGCAATGTGACAGCCACCTACAAGCCAAGAGAAGTCACCTCAGGATGAAACCTACCTTGTCAGCCCCTTGTTGTTCATTTCCAATCTCCAAAAAAGTGAGAAAATAAATTTCTGTTGTTTAAACCGTCCAGTCTGTGGTACTTTGTTATAGAAGCCTGAGTTAATACAGGGAGCCAACCTGAAAATCTGTGAGCTCTACAGTCAGGTATAGAGGCTTTTTATGACCCTGAAAAAACTGGTCCTTAAACGTTTCTCTGCTAGAGCTCATGTTTCCTTAACAACAGAAATAGCCAGGCATAGGTATTCTCTTGAAAAATAAAAGAGTGTTACACCATCAGTTGCAAATTTCAGTTGATTCTTATAAGCAAAATTTAAGTCATTCAAATAAAAATCAAAAGGGGGAAAAGGATTACAAGTGAGAGTGTTCCTTTTCCACAAGTCAACCACTTCCTCCTTCAAGTTCTTAGAGCCAAGAGTTCCTAGGATGCTTACCTGCTCAACAAGTTTTGGCCTGAATCTCTTTCCTCCTTTTCCCCTCCAAGAATGCCAGATACCTGAAGTGCCCTCAACCTGAATCTACGCTCAAGTGACACTGACCTAATGCACACAGAAAATCCTACCTTCCAGGACCGGGTTGGACTGTAAAAGTTGCTCTTTGACTTGGTTAACTTCTGCTCCTTTTCCACAAACAGCAGCCACATAGGACATGACAAGCTTGCTGGCCTCTGTGGATGAAAACAAGCCATATTAATTCATTAAGCAGAAACCTTAAAACCTCTTTGGGGCCAGGAAATTTGGGGAAAGAAGACTCACTAATGGTGTTTTCAAATGCTTTACTCCTGGGGTTAAATGATGCTTCGGAAACATTTTTCAATGTGTATACTTTCTATTCAATGACATGTCACTGATTTAGGTATAACAGAACTTAGTACTTGAAGGTTACTGCTCAGCTATTAGAAAGATCACTTAGAATGATGGCCAACCAAATCTCAGGAGAATCATATTCTCACAGCAATCAAGTACACACAATTATTGTATTTTTTTACAGATGACTCAAGCCAAAAATAACTTGGTAACCTAAGCATCTTCACCAAATGTATTTTTAGAGTTTAAAAGAACTGATCTTCCTCAAAATATTTTCTAAATCAAATTGGTTTGCTCACAATGAAAACCAACTGATTATTCTTCAATTCAATTAAAAAGCTAAGCAGTTAATGTGAGGACTCACTCGATCCCTTGAGAATATGGTCATTTTCATAGACTTTAGCAGAATCCCTGAAAGGTAAACTGGTAAGAGCAGCAAATCACATGGGGCAGACAAAATTCTTAGCTCAAATTGGTTAAGTGAAAAAAAATTTGGTTTTGGTGGTTCTATCCTTCCTCTGATCTCTCTTAGCACCTGCCTCCTAGAATGCGACCCTTTTAACAATGAACTACTTCCAAGGAAGGTTAATGGGTGTTCAAAGATAAAGAAGCCCAAAGTCAAATGAACTTGAGGCCACAGTGAGATGCAGTGAAACAAATGTCCTTATCATCAGGCTTCTGAGAGCCTTTTATATGAGCGTGTGCATTGAGGAACTCTGAAAGAGGTCTAGAATGCTTCCTTTCCACCAGTTATTTTCCATGGAATTTGTTTGCCTCCTGTTGAGCTATCCAGTTCTGCCCTTCCATAATCAGCATCTGGGAAATGGTCAACTATTAAGTGTTGGCAGAATAAAACATATGCCCTGCTCTGGGCAGTTGAGGTAAGGACACTCATCTCCCCAGATCTTGTTTTGTCCAAGTCTTTGTTCTAGTGCCACTGTGCGTGGGCATGAGGTCTCCAGGTGTGAGCGAGGTGCCTCTGCCTCAGGGTGTAAGGGCAATCTCAACACTGCTACTTCTTCAGAGGAGGCCTGCAGGTGGATTCCAGTTCTACCTCTCACCACTGAGGAATAGTAAATGAACAACTTTGGTGCATTCCTCAACATGTACTTCAGGGCCTTTAAGCAACCTAAAACATCAATGATAACATATGGAGCATCAAGAATCCATGCACCAAGAATTGCAGTTCTCGAGTCCTAAGAAGACTATTTTTGGAGCTGGAGCTATAGTAGGGTAAAGGGCAAATAAACATTCATGGAGCTCTGAGAACTAAGGTCGGAGGTTGGGTACTTCTTCAATGACTGCAGTTTCCCTCCAATTTACTTTCCAAGTAATGAAAATGGGTCCAAACGTATTCCATGGTGCTCTGTGATGGTCGACTGCTGCGATCTCCCTGCAGCCTTTTCCTCTTTGTGCTGCTCTTACTTTACAGGACACTGTCCACATAACACATTCTGCATTGTTGAAAGTTCCTGACCTCCATTTTCTATTGTTCTCAGGGTTTTACTATATAAAAGCTGGTAAATCATGTGTACCCAGCCCTGTCTCTCAGTTCAGACTGACCTGACCTCACTTACAGTCTATGTTCCATTACACTGCACTCAAGTCTTTAGTGCTCATTTCCTCCATCCATCCATGCAGGGTCAAATTCTGCTTCTGGTCACATCAGGACACCCTCTTTCTAGGCCTGATGTCTTTCCACTTGAGATGAAACTGCATGCCCAGAAAGTTCCTGGCATTCTGTGCTATCTGGTTCTTAGCTCTGCACTCCTTTCTAGAAATCACAAGTGCATTCCAACTCCAGGGTCTAGTCTCCAATTCACCTCCATCCAGGCTTTCTTTCTCACTGTTCAATCTTCTCAGCAGTATTCTGTGCTCCCCAACCCCACCTATACTCTCACATACACTATGGATATTCTTTCTTGACATAAATTTCTGGCCTGTATTTAAAACTAGAAGACTGAAAACATGCATAGGTAAAATAAACAGTGGTGCGTGCGCGTGCGTGCGCGCATACATACACACATACACACACACACACACACACACACACACACACACACACACTTTAAATAAAGTAGGTTTTCTCTTAGGTAAATTGACAAGGTATATAATAAGTCCAGGCCAGGCTATTTGCTTATTCCAATAACTATGGACCTTTCTATAGACAAACTTCAAATTCTTGACCACATTGAGTTCTCCGCAAATCCTGTTCTGGTCCACAATAGACTAAGGGGAAAACTGCCTTAGGGGAAGTGGTGGGTGGCAAGCAAGAATGAGAACATTTTGATGATTGCTAAAATTGATTTGGCTTCTCAGAGACCTCATAATGAGCTGAAAAAAAAATTGGGATCAAGTTCTCTAAGGGTCAAATCCGTTTGAAAATGGCACTAGGAGCAGATCTCTTGGGATTGAATTGGGATTGGGCTTATATTATCTAGCTGTTAAAACTGTTTAAAAGCCAACAATACCTACTCATTTAAATTAAAATTAGAAGTTACTTTTATGAACTCTATTTAAGCAAATTCAAATATTTTTAAATATAATTCAAGGACATAGTTCAATGACATATATCCAATGACACATGTTTTAATAGCATATATCCAAGTTGATAAAAATCTAAGTTCAGATTCTTAACTATCTTCAGGAATTGTATTATTAGGCTTGTTTTAATAAGTTTTGGAAGCTGGGGTTAAGAGTAATTTTCTTTTTTCCAAAGAAAGTTGGAAAGAAGAGACAAGTTCTACAAGAGATGACTTTCCTAACATAATACTTGATCTTTAACTCAAGCAGTTCATGAGATAGTTACTACTTTAGAAAAATACGTAAGGATGAGCTAACTACAAGGTCCAACACAGTTGAGTGGACTGTTTCCATAACACTTCACCATGCTGGAAACAGAAAACAATGGCTATTCTCATGAGGCTTTCCATTTCATTTCCTTTTGGCTCTTTAGTGCTAAAGTTCAAGTACATTTGAATCTGTATTCAAATATTTGTATATTTATACAAACTTTTATGTAATAACTTCTATAAATGAAAAATATTATATATCTCAAGAGAATCAAGAACTGAATGTCATCGTCCATATTTCCAAGTCCAGTTTTTGAATTATGTTGACTTAATACTGACATTTAAAACTGACAAAAATGTATCAGCATTGCACAGAATCAATTCCTGGTTCATGATTTTCTCTAACTCACAGATACTTTACATATGCATATGTATGTGTACATACATGTTTGATTGTCACTTGAATGTTAAAATTTGTTAGCAGTTGAACAAACAAAATGTAAAGTATTGAGTCAAAATTTCTTCACCAGAAAATGGTACAACATTTAGGACTGAACAGATATTTTGCACTAACAGACAAATGACCTGTAACAAAATAGTCCTGGATCACAATTTCTATATCAGAATTAATTTCTACAAAAAATGGAAAGGAGTTATTTACAGATGATAATTTATAATTCTGGGAATTCTGTAAGAGTAAGAATAACTAACTTAAGTCTTTAGACATTTGTAATCATGTGGATAAAAGCATGGGAATTCCACTCCCAAGATATTGAAACCTACACATGTTAATTAAGCAGGCTCCATGTGGATTCAATCACTGAATGTATGGGGGTGGTAATAACTAGAAATAAGCAAGCCTTAACTTAAAAAAAAAAACAGGGCTTCTAATATATTTATTCAGGAGTTATAGGTATCTAATATATTTATTCAGGAGTTATCTATAGATAAATGCAATGTCATGGATGTCACATGTTATACAGCTTACAGGAAGAGCCACACATTTATACACACATTCACAGATACATTTATCTACTTCTCTATCTCTCTAACACCTCGGTTAAGACACCCAAGTTTTTTCAGGGACTGGCTTACAAAAATCCAGTGATTCATAGACCTAAAGAGTAAGACTGCTTAAACCCACAAGGACCTGTTTGCGTACAATGAAGCAGTCTCTCTGCCACTTAGCAGAATACCCTTATTAGCAGTCCTGAGTCTGCAGGGCTGCAATATAACCCAGCTGCAGCATGTCCAAATTCATCAGTCAGGCAGCCATAAACTGTTCCAAACAGAGATCAAAAATCATGGGTTGTGCAGTAAGAAATGCAGCCTTCCCTACAAGAGGAGTCCTGGCTGGTGACTTTTTCATTGATATAAAACCATATGTCTGTCACCCAGTTTTGAAAGAGGGCCACAAAACCTGTGATAAATACTTACAAACATGCATCAAGAGGGACCTTCCTCTTATGGGGAAACACACAAAACAATAGCTCACTCCACTTGGCCTTGAGTTTGATTAGCCACTCTGCTTCAAGGTGGACCCAGTCAGTGGCATAGGATACCCAGGGATGTTGAGGCTACAGCAGATCAATGATACCTGTCACTAATGTAGGAGAACTTTTGTGGACTTAAAGTAGGACGAGGTCATTCGGGGTTTAGAACCAAAGGTCTTAATGAGCAAGGCAGGCTACATAACTCTTCTAGCAGACAGCTGATGAGTTCCTCGAAACTGATGTAACCGTAAAGTTAGAAACCAAATGATTTATAATGTTTTCTTCTTTCAGGATCATCTTCTCAGGCACCAAGATTTATTCTGATGTCCTTGGAAAAATGTAGCTCTGATGGTTCCCTCATGTTCCTTCCTGCTCCGACCAATGCCTGAATGGCTCTCCACAAATTATCCGTATTCACAGTAGTGAATTTTGAGCTCACTGCCTAGAAATACTTGGGCACTTTTATGAGGCATGATGAATTTTTTATTTAGCACAGCAGTGATGAATTAAATAGCACCCCAAAGGGCTCAAAAGAGTTCATGCCTCTCCCTAAGCGCCCATGTTACAGAACCTCGC